TTTTTTTTTTTTTTTTTTTGGCTTTTTTTTTTTTTAGAGGTAAAATTGTAGTGGCAGCCCTCGGCCACCATAGACCTGGTACCAGTCTATACCCTTATCTACACCATGTCCGCCTCTCTTTTACCAGAGCGTTTATTGATATAGTCAGGAGCGTATAATGTGATGTATGTGATGGATGTATTTGTCATTATACGCTCCTGATATAGTCCTTATTCCTTGATAGCGTGATTTTTTTCCTAGGTTAATCAACAACATAGGGCTCTAGTGAGCGCTGCCAATTTTGGTTGAGCAATTTCGTCGCTCAATGACGTCACAGTGTCGTCTATATACACAGTGCCGTCTATACAATTACCTACACCATGTCCGCCGCCGTGTATCGTTATCGAGCATTGATATCAAGAGTACACATATATATATATACATATATACATATACATATACATATATATACATATATATACATATATATATACATATATACATAGTCTTTCCTGATTGAGTAGGCTGCGTATATATAGCTGGCATCGTACCAACAGCTGCGTATAACCGCGTCGACATTTAGCCATTATTATGTGATCTCTTTTGGTCCGGAAAAAACAGATGGAGAAGTGGAGGGGCAAGCTCCGGAGAAAGATGGAGGTGTGGAGGATGAGTACCTTCCGATAGATCTGCAGTATATCTGCGACAGCATTGATGATGGATTGGAGGCCTTGGAGGTTATCAATGAGGCCTACCGCCAGGGCCTCTCCCAGGGGGAGGAGGGAGCGGAGGACGCCGCAACTGAAGCCTGGGTGGCTGACCTGCGGACCAACATCCGCGGCGTAAGGAAGAAGCTCGCGGAGGTCAAGCGGGCGGCAAAGGAACGGCGAGGACAAGTGGAGGAAGCTCAGCGGGGGGTTGAGGTTGGAGCATTGATGAAGGGGAAACTGCAGAGGGAACTGCAGGCCTTCAGAGCCAATGCGGGCAACCTGGACAATCAGCTGGACACTGAGACCTCTACCGGTGTCATCGGCAACCTCCGTGACTTGGTTAACCAGGATATGGACAGACTGCAGTTGTTCTTCGGCAAACTCTGCTCACTTACTGATCAATCTCTGGTGGAAGAGAATCAGCAGGTGGCTGCCGCACGGGAGAATATGCGGGAGCTGCATAATAAGGTGGCGATCTTCATGGGCAAACGGGGATCGTCGATGGAGGGAGAGCTGCCTAATGGCAGGGGCGGAGCCCGAACCGGAAACAGGGTCTCTGAGGGTGGTAACGTGAAAATTGAAGCCATCCAGCTGCCGACGTTCGGCGGGGGGAAGGACGGTTACACTGGGTGACCTGTGTTCATCAGAACGTGGAAGGAGATCGCAGAGGCTCAGTGGCCGCGGAAATATCTGAGTCATGCCTTACGCACGCATCTGAGGGGGGAGGCCGCCAAGGCGGTAGAGGCCTACAGTCATGACTATGATCAAATGATCAAAGTACTTGGTGATAAGTACGGCAACAATAAAAAGACTACTGAGGCGATACTGCGGAAAATAAAGGCGTGCAAACTTGTGGCTGCTGGGAACCACAAGGCGTTTATCGAATTCGTTGATGTGGTTCTGAAAGCGGATGCGAGTCTGGAAGCGCTGGGAATGCGTGACGAGATTAGCACGTGCAGCTCGATGGGTGAAATCGAGAAAAAGCTCCCGGAGTCGGCATGGGCTCGTCACATACTGGAGAAACGTGCGGACGACCAGGAGAAGCCCTACCCGCATTTTGTCGAGTTTCTACGGAAAGAGAAGTCGAAGTACGAATACTTGATGTCGTCTGTGCGGCACCAGGTGGTGGTGACGGCGCACGTGCAGAAGACGAAGCCTGGCGTTAACGGGCGGAGTATCCCGAAGAGCGGGCAGTGTTTCTCGTGTGGGTCTACCGAGCACATCAAGCGTGATTGCCCGGCCAGGGGTCAGCGTGGGGGCGGTGATGGCGGCCAGAATGGCGGTCGGCAGCAGCTAGGTGCAGGGCTGCACTGTGCCGCCTGTGGTGGTCCTCACAGAACTGTCGGGTGCGGAAATTTCGTTTCTGCTGCTGTAGAAGAGAGACGTATGATGGTTGGGAGAAGTGGCGCTTGTTTCAAGTGCCTCGGGAGCGGTCACATTGCTAACAGGTGTAAGTTTAGAGAGCGGAAGTGCATGAAGTGTGGTGGTAACCGGCACAACACAATGTTGTGCATGCAGAGCGTGGCAGGGTTGAGCGCTGCACCGGTGAGCAGTCAAATGGTGTATGTGGACGTACCCAGAGCCGGGCGCGGCTTCGGGGTCGGTGGCGCCGAATTCGGGGCAACAGCATGGTGTGGCGCCGGGCGCGCTGGCGGAATGTGGGGCGGTGGAGGGCCGCGGTGTGTGAAAGGCGCCCGCAATGCTATGAGTGCCGGAGGTGACGCTAGAGCCGGTGGCGGTAGTGGTGCCAGAGGTGGTGTTGGCGCCAGGGGTGGTGCAGGTGCCGAACCCACGCGAGCGTCATCAAACGTGGCCGGCCTGAGAACGGATCGGAATTAAACACGCTACTGCACATGATGTCAGTGCCTGGTAACAGATAAGGTAGCCGAGTGAGTGTTCTGTGGGATACGGGGTCCACGGGGCATTTTATCACTCACGCGTGTGCTAAGGCCAACCACTATCGTAGCACGGAGCACACGGTGGAAGTGACTATACACTGCGGAATGTGAGAGAAACGCACCAGACGAGACTGTATGAGGTATCGATTCGGGATTTGCAGGGAATGACGCACAAAGTGTATGCTTACGGAGTGGAGCGAATCACTAGAGATATTGCGCCATTGGACGAGGGAATTGTAGTGAGCTGGTACCTATAGTTAGTTAGCGGTATACGCTATCAGTATGTGTAATTTCGATAAGATTGCGGTAAATTTGGCTCTTAGTCTTATACTTATAGTTCATGGTATTCTTATACTTCGTAGGTTGAAACGTTGTATTCGTCAGCACCCTCAGCAATAAAGACGAGTGGTTAACAACATTGGCTCTACTTCTATAATTTGTCAATTACGACGTCCTGTGACGCCACAAACAATGACAAAAAACTGCATGAGGAAGATGATGAGCAGCGGAATCATGTACTGATGATGACGATGGGCTAAGGATCCAACAATCAACAACAAACAACAATGACAACAACAATGACAACAAACTGCATGAGGAATATGATGAGCAGCAGAATCATGTACTGATGATGACGATGGGTTAAGGAATCCAACAATCAACAACAAACAACAACAAACAACAACAAACAACAACAAACAACAATGACAATAAGCTACATGAGGAAGACTTATTAAATTCGCTGGACTGACAACGTGGTAAACAACGATGTCGACGACAACAAACAACAACAACGACCACAACAAACAACTCCAACAAACAACAACGACAACATCAACAAAGAATCGCGCATCGAAAAGGATACGAAGAACAGCAGGACTTGATGATGCCTCACAGCTCCGTATATCCCGACGATCGCGAGGATCAGCAGGAAGATTCCGCAGGCGACAATCCCGCCAAAAACTGCTATGCTCGTGACGATGCTGGCACCCTTCCCCGCTCCCGCAACGCCGATCAGGATGAATGCTACGACCTGGAGAGAAAACAACGACAATGACGAGAGAGAGAAAGTTAACACGGCTATTCTGGCACCCTTCTCCGCTCCTCGTTAGTTCCTAGCCTATATTACCGGACAGAACTGCAACTTGCTAATAGTAATATTTTGTTTACTATAGGTATAGTAGGTGATTTTATTCTAAATGGTTTTTACTAGGTATTTTGAGCTTATTAGATAGCCATAGTGACAAGAAACATAACACACTCTACAGACTTAAAAAATCGACCCCTGTGAAGAGGCATTTTTGTGATGGAATTTTGACACATTTTGGGGAATCGTTAAATATGCCAAGGTATAGGAGCAAAACGGAACATTTTTGCAGACTGTATAATGGTCACCCGAGGGTGACAAGTGACCCTTATAGTTATACACAGGTGTCCATTCTATAGAGATGGTTTGAGTGCCTGACCTACACACATGGGAAAAGCCATTTGTCCATGCATTATTATAGCCAGGAATCTGCATTCTAAAAAGATGTATGCTACCACGGATTTGCCTAACTTCAACTACAATTAAGTGACAATGTTGAATAATAGCTGTATTTTAATGCACATATTCATGCCAAATAATATAACACTCTCCAACACATAAAGACACTTCACAATAAAAACTTCATGCATAAGTTAAATCACTTACTGAATTCAGCCAGCACCGCAAGTAGAGACAGAAATAAAGACGGAATTACCAATGACGAGGTGCTTCGTTGGTTCCTAGGCTATATTAATTATCTTATAGAACTGCAACTTGCCAATTTAACAGAAATATAATTTGTTTACTTAGTATAAATTAGGAAATAAAAGACGTGAACTTACTATGTACAGCACATTAAGCGTAATAAGAGTCTTTCTCGAGCACGAAAACCCGCAACTTTCCATTTTCTTTAATAAGAGTTTACTTTACTATAGACAGGGTGAACTTGTAAAATCGGCGTGCGCGTACTCGGAGTCACGTGTGCCGTTTGTCGTAGTGCAGTACGGTACTTCGATCCGTATGTCGGAGGTGTGTCGCATGCACGCCAATCACACAGTTGGACACCAAATTGTTAATTACCCTTGAGACGGTTACTACCCCCAGTCTATACCCTTATCTACACCATGTCCGCCTCTCTTTTACCAGAGCGTTTATTGATATACGTCCTTATTCCCTGATAGCGTGATTTTTTTCCTAGGTGAATCAACAACATAGCTCTAGGGCTCTAGTGAGCGCTGCCAATTTTGGTAATAGTACATATAATAGTACATAATAGGAGATAATTATAACATAGTCTTTCTTGATTGAGTAGGCTGCGTAGCTGGCATCGTACCAACAGCTGCGTATAACCGCGTCGACATTTAGCCATTATTATGTGATCTCTTTTGGTCCGGAAAAAACGGATAATCCGGAAAGGCCTTGGAACCAAGGGTTCCGAAAAATCGGTGTTGTACCTGTAGTCAAGGCTCCACACTAACTTTTTTTTCTAGTGGCCGATGAAATCATGAAATTGCACGCCTCGAAGTCAAGGAATTATCATTGGTTACAAAAGCCAGCCGCAGCTGCAAAACCCGCAATGCCTGTCTCGGCTATGCAGTCGCAATAGCGATTGTGTACGCTTGACTTGCCAGCCAACCGTTCACGATCGCAATCGCATCTTTCCCGCATATATGCATTCACACGCAGTGTTTCCCCTGCATTAACACGAGCGAGGTGGGCTCCTCGCTCAAATTATCAGCCGCCACGCAGAAATTTATCCAAAAACACTGTCTCGCTGACGAAAATCACTGTTCTTCCATCAATAAACTACACTTTATTGAACTAATATCGAAATAAAGCGCCAAACGTATGGTAAATTAAACACAACACCCGCGTACTCACAATACTGTCAACACGCACACACAATACTGTTACAGGCTAGTCACAACACAGGCTAACCATACGAACACGTCTGGCGGTGTCTACTAATTCCAATGAGAATGCATCTGTAGCGAGCGGTAATACCGGTGTAGGCTTTGTCCTTACCAAAGGCACAGATTACAATGTTTGATGGGAATCCTTTGAAGTACCATTCTTTTATCATGTCATTTCAAAGCATGGCTGCGAATATCCCGAATGACAGTATTAAGTTGAATAACCTAATCTCTTCATGTAAGGGTAATGCAAGGGATGCCATTGAGTTCTGTGTTATGAAGCCTCCTGAGGAAGGATACGCAGCTGCTCTGTGCGCACTGAGATCAAGATTTGGTAGTAATGTGGTTGTTAGCCAGGCCTGGATCAGCAAGGTCATAGATAAGGAAAGTGTAAGCATAACTAACTTACGCACCTGCGCGTGAGGAAGGAGTTCGGACAAATAGGAAATCTCAACATGGCGAAGAATAAGGATCCTATGTTGAGCATCTTGGATGTTGAGGTGTTAACGAAAGGTGGAAAGGAAGTGTCCAGCGTCTTGCTTGATAAAGATTCTCAGGATAAAGATTTTGCAAAGAAGCTGAACTTGAAGGGCAAAGCGGTAGCTGCAATTATAACAAAGGTTGGTGGAATTGAAGAAGAGTTTCAATCAACACTCTATGAGCTAACGCTGCGGGGGTGAAGACAGCATGACTCACCACATTTCAGCTTTAGAAATGGGACACATCAATAATGTAAGAGAGATTGACGTAAAGCAAATGGAGCAATTATTCAGATGAGCTAGGCACACTTGAAAAGAAGAGGTGGACGAATTAGATATCTGCATTGGTGTAACCATCGCACATTTGCTCCGGCAGGTGAAGAATCTGGATCGAACTGGTATTGGTCGCCGCAGAGAACTCCTCTATGATGGACAGTGTATGGAGGGAAGAGGCCAGCGCAGCTAATCAGGTTATGCATATGCAGACTCTCAGAATCCAGTCTACGTGGAGAGCCTTTTGGGCCACTGGAAGCATACGGGGTGGACATAGACCTTGCGCACTAGCAAGTCCTGGAAAGGACTCACTGAGAAGCTGGAAGGCAAAATCATGCAGGGAGTCTTGCTAGCGCAGAGTCGGAAATCAATGGGATGGTTCCCTACCCTTGCGCGCTAAGGACCGCTGTGATCTTGGAGGATAACGCGTATCAGCTAAGAAGATGCTAGTAGGACTAGAAAGGCTGCTAAAAAGCAAAAAGGGCATGCAGAAGCTTATGACAAGCAGATGCCAAGAACATGGTAGATGGATTTTCGCCGCAAGTAGACGCCGAGGAGAGTCGGAAGTATCAAGGGCCTGTTCACTATATTCCTCAACCGATCTCAGTTGGCAAAAAAAGCGATAGCCTTCAGGTACCCCTTGAGAATTGTCTTTAATGCATCTAACAGATACAATGGCAAATGCATTAATGATTGCTGGAGGAAATGACCAGATTTGTTGTGCAGCTTATTTGGTGTCATCTTAAGGTTTAGGGAGAACCAGGTAGCATTGGTTGGCAATATCTCCAAGATGTATCACAGGATATTGATACCTACGATCGATCAGCATGTGCATAGATATTTGTGGAGAGATCTAGATGTCGACAGAGACATGTATTCGTCGACTCTTGTAGTCAAGTCTCATCTTTCCGCACAATAACCATACATCGAGCCCAACGCCACTGTGCTGGGAACCACACTGTACGTGGTTGACACATTTGTCTACCTCGGCAGCATGCTGTCAAGAGATGGCACCCTCGATGCAGAAATCTATCAACAGATTGAGAGAGCTAGCTTCGCCTTTGGGAAGCTGGAGGAGAGGGTTTGGTCCAATGGAGGTATTACAACCAACACACAGCTTAGAGTGTATGAAGCCTGCGTCCTCATTACCCTGCTGTATGCCTCGGGAACATGGACGACCTACCATATATATATATATATATATCATTATCATGTAGTGAGGAACACGCGGGAAGCGACGCGCGTATATAACAGATAAACAGCGGCTACATTCGAGCCCGCCCGTGGTGGTAATGAACCTCAATCGCGACACCTAGGTGCGACAAGAGAGACGAAGATGCGCAAGGAAGGGGGGAGGGCGGACATCATACCCCCATGATATTATGACTAGCATCAAAAGTCAAAGTCAACAACCAATGTCTCATGCCACTTCTGATATACGGCAGTGAAACCGGGACTCTGTACCATCATCAAGTTCGACAACTTAGAACAATACAACAACATCATCTACGTATTATCATGCACATTAAATGAGATCATTACATCAGTAATGAGGAGGTCCTTAGCAGAGCGGGTGTTGAAGACATCAAATTGAAGCTAGTTAGAAGTCGTCTGCGTTGATTTGGCCCCGTTTGTAGAATGGATAACGACAGACAAGTCAAGGCACTCCTATACAGCGAGCTAGCAAATGGATCTCGATTTGTTGGCCGCCATAAACTAAGATACAAGGATACTTGCAAAAGTGCCTTGAAATGTGGTAATGTCCTTGATCAATAGAAGAATGTTGTAGACAACACACAAGAATGGAGAATACTTGTGCATACTACTTGTGAATGCTACAATACAAGGAGAATCAAAGAGTATGAAAGAAATAGTGAAAGGAGAAAGGGTGTCATAGGGTCAAGGATCAGGGAAAAAATTTCCTTTTTGTCACGGGAGCCCTTTTGCAAGTCTGTGGAAAAAATAGCTCTCGTCATTTATATATATATAAATTTTACGGGAGCCATTTTGAGCCTCACGGGAGCGATTTCGGAGGTTTGAAGAGCGAATCGTTCGCGTTTAGTGTACAGTATGTTGCTTCCGGTCGCCGCTGTGCAGCACTGACTCATTACGTTATTACCACAGAGATTACTAAATCCAGCATAAGAGGCATCACCAGGGCTCACTTTTAACAGTCGTCCGGTCGTCATGGACGACCGGATTTTCTCTCGGGCAACTACAAATTGCTTCCGTGGTTGTCCGGTGTCCAACCTCTATAACATCAATAACCTGAGCTCTCTATACCAGTGTTGGCGATACACGTACAGTATTCAGGTATTTGAAATCTGGTATACCCCCGAAAGATCTGGTATCCCTTTTTTAGATAGTAATTTCAACAATGTTGGTATCCAAAACTTTGAAATAAGCAATAATGACAGTCCGCGCTTCTTCTCGTTCATCGCTCCTGGGCGATCGATCGCTCGCGGGCCACCAGCGAGCGCGCACTCATTTTACATACGGCCAGGGTTGCACAATACGCTGCAAACGTACATGTCTAGACACATTGTCTGGCTTGCTTCATACAATGTATACCATTTGTCATTTGTCATTTGTAATTCGCCAGCCAGTTACTATAGAGATCAGTGGCCTCGATAATGTACACGATTAGGCCTTTTGCTTTACAGCACTGAGCATCACGTGAGCAGAGCGCATGCAGCACATGTTTAAATAATATCCGGACAACCAAAACTCTTGAGGGACAACCATATGCTACTCTCTTGGCTGTCCTCCGGACAACCCAAAAAAAAATCTTAAAATTGAGCACTGATCACCATGGCGATAAATAACAAGACATTATTGTGGAGTGATGGCTGGGTCCATGACTGGAAATGCGAGAAAAGATAGTAGAAAGCAAAGGAATTCCATTTGTCAATGAATGACGGAAACACGTGAGGATTCCCGAAGTTATCACTAAACGCGAGCGAGTCGCCGCTTGCAGTAAACTCGATTTCGATTTTCGGCAAAATACTAGATTTTCACTGCTTAATATCTTAGCGTAGGGGCATCGTAGAAACAAGCGGTTGGTTTTATATTATCAAGAAAAGACAGCTGAATAATACTGCAAAGAATTGTTAAAATAAAACTGTTAAAGTTTACTAATTCTACTGAAACTACATGGTTTTTGCATTTCACCATTGTACGCTGTCATTCTTAACTCTCATTGTACAGCTATTTGATGTAAAATTGTAAGTTGTTCCAATTAGGCTCAAAATGGCACATGACATGAGGAACAGTGGATGTTCCCC